GGCCGCTATCTTGCCTGGCAGTTAATTTGCATATCGCCCTGATTAGCCAATGGGAAGGGTAGCGAATGTACGGCTAATTACCATGTTTCTCTTTTATTAGATATGATAGCTTTCTTCCATATGCATATCCTTTCAGGTTTTAAAATGCATGTGTTGTATGAATTTTATATTTAATTTTTAGTTTAATTGTGGTATCTGCTAACATTATTTGCCACTCAGGGATGAAATCTAGCTTATAACAACTTAGAAAAATCACCCATAACAACATTGAAGCCTTCAAGCCAATTTATTTTACAGGATGCTCTAAGCCAGCGGTTCTCAACCTGTGGGTAGCGATCCCTTTGGCGGTCGAACGTCCCTTTCACAGGGGTCGCCTAAGACCATCCTGCATATCAGATATTTACATTACGATTCATAACAGTAGCAACATTACAGTTATGAAGTAGCAATGAAAATAATTTCATGGTTGGGTGACATCATGAGGAACTGTATTTAAAGGGCCAGAAGGTTGAGAACCACTGCTCTAAGCTCTTATCTAATTGGCTGTTGCCTTTTATGTCATAATCACATCACCCAACAAACAGTAAGCAGTATGTAGAGTTACAGCAGTGAAACTAGGATTTTTCCCCCCAATGTAAAGTTTTTCTCTCTCTGCCTCTAATAAAACATCTGCAACTCATACAACATCTTTAAGAATTTCTCACAAAATCATGCTGGAAGACGGTGGAACCTGTTTTCACCCGGAAGATTTTTTTCATTTTGTTATTTTAAATTGATTGCCAACAGATGTGGGAGCCATCTCTTTTCATTGGATTGGTCCTTGGCTTTCTAGGCAGAGAGAGATGAATCTACTCCAGATTGGCACTCAGAGAAACAGCACTGTATCGACCTGGCTGGTGAAATTTACTCTTCTTTGGCTGCTTAGTCGGAACTGCTGCAGAGCCAGCGCTGTTTGGACCGCTTACATGAACATATCATTTCATGTTGGGAATCGCATGCTGTCAGAGTTGGGGGAAACTGGAGTATTTGGAAGAAGCTCCACTCTGAAGAGAGTGTCCGGAGTTATTGTGCCACCAGATGGAAAATCGCAATATGCCTGCAATCCCAGTACCAGCTTCAGCAGATCGGAGAACTCAAAGGTGTGGCTCGCACTTGTTGAACGGGGAGGTTGTCCCTTCACACAGAAAATTAAGGTGGCCGTTGAGAAGGGAGCCAGCGGAGTGATCGTCTACAACTTCCCAGGAACCGGCAACCAGGTTTTCCCCATGTCTCATCAGACCTTTGAAGACGTTGTGGTCCTGATGATTGGTAACTTAAAAGGCATGGAGATTCTGCACTTGATTCGGAAGGGAGTTCACGTTACAGTCATGGTGGAGATGGGGAGGAAACACCTCATCTGGATGAATCACTATTTTGTCTCTTTTTTGATTGTCACCACCGCTACGTTTACGTACTTCGTCTTTTATCATATTCGAAGACTTTGGGTAGCCAGGGTTCAGAGCAGGAGATGGCTGCGCTTAGCAACAGATCTCAAGCTAGCATTTGGCCAGCTTCAGCTCCGGGTACTGAAAGAAGGGGATGAGGAAGTAAGTCCCAACGGAGATAGCTGTGTAGTTTGCTTCGAGCTCTACAAGCCTAACGACACAATTCGTATTCTGACTTGCAAACATTTTTTCCACAAGAATTGCATCGACCCCTGGATTCTGTCACATGGAACGTGCCCCATGTGCAAGTGTGACATTCTTAATGCTTTGGGAATCCGAGTGGATGTTGAAGACGGAACACAGTCACTGCAAGTTCTGATGTCAAATGAATGGCCTGGTATTTTATCACCTAGTGAAGAGGGGACCGCTAGTGAACTTCCTCCTGCAAGGCAGCCAGATAAAGCGACCCACGTGGGAGAGGCGGCGGAGCGCCCTCCTTCCCCGAGTGACAGCCAGCCCAACTCGGCAGAAGACGTTCATCCTTCACCTTGATAGCATGACCTTTGAGGAAGCGGATTAAACCTGTTTGTCAAACCAGGTTCTAATACTGACAAGCAGTTTGCTTGAAGTGTGGTTTTGTGTCCTTTTTTGTTGCTTTGGTAATTTTCTACATTCTTTGTCAAGCCCTAAAGACAGAAAAAGAAAAGAAAAAAAAGGCCTAGTAGGATTTAAAAAAAAAAATCTTTGCTAAATGTAACTTTTTGTCAATGTATGTTACTCCTGTGAGTATAGATGTTTATTTGTATGTACACATGCATGTTAAAAGCAAGGACAAACTTTTCTCCCTAGGTGTTTTTTGTATTATATATATTGACTTTATTTTAGTAGGAAAATTGTTAATATATTTGCATGTTCCTTATAATCCCAAAGCTATAAATTAAGCTTGAAAAACTAGTTATCTTTGCTGTGCTAGGAAGAGTAAAATGTATCTTTTGATAGTTATAGTACAGTATAATTTGACCTCCATTGTGCTACATGTTTTTATTCTTGTCATAAAAATTTGCTTTATAGAATTTTATTCTTACTCTTGTCAAATAATTCTGTTCAAGCAATTAGTACATTCAATGTGATCTGCAATCTTAAAAGTAAAATAGTAGCTCTCTTAAAGTGACCAGCGAATATTTCAGTGCCCAATATTTCTTATCATAATTGTTACATGTTCATAGTGTGTAGAAAGGCTTAAATGATAAAGAATTCCTAAGATATTTAGTCACGGTGTATTTACTTCCTATATGTTCTATATTACCTTATTTATTTATTTATTTATTTATTGCTATTAAATAAAATATTTAAAATATTCCAGATTATTTTGGAGATAAGTGTCACACTGTAGGATTTTAATATGACATCTTGGGATTCTGTTCATTTTGTTCACTGCATTTCCAGGAATATGGGGCAGAGCTGGACATTTGAATATGTTTGAGTGAATGAATAACAATAAATACCTTTTTCATAATGTAACTGTTAAGTGTTAATCTGGAAAAACTAGGCAGTTTATCCCAATTGTAAATAATGGGGCGCTAATCATGAAAATGCTCATCCTAAATCACTTTGACTGAACAGAAAACTGCAATTATTAGCCCAGAATTCATTATTGTAACTTAGCACGCATACTTTTAATGAGGAGCTCTGGCCTCTCCAGGGCTGACGGTGAGTTTTGAATTTTTGTGCAGCCCTAGAAAGAGATCTGTTAAGAGGAATTTTGTGAGTTGCTCAGGGCTGACAATACTGGAATTCAGAGAGAGGCAGAAGGAGTACTTGTTTCTAAGAGCAGTGCCAGGGAAGACTCTTTCAGGGAGGGAGGGGCACAGCACCAAGTGGGCTAATGACCAGGCCGGGGTTATGCCTTGCTTGGTATGCACAGGCTTTTGTATAGCCAACCCTTGGGAGGTTTGGACTCAGTTACTCACAGGAGCTGCTCTTTGAAAGGACTGTATAGCACCAGCATGGGAGGATTTAGCGGGAACACTGTTCTGAGTGTCTTGTTTAGTTTACTCTGGGAGAGGAAAGTCATTTCCTGAGAGACCAAGGATCACATTGGAGAAACAGGACACTGAGAACCCTGTGAGAGCCACTTCTGCTAGAATCACCTCCTAAGCAAGATAAGCTGTCATCCTCAGGCTGACTACTGTTGGTGTCTCTGGGGTTAGCATCTCCTGGGGGTGGCCGGTTGCCCAGACGAATCATTGAAACTGTGGATGTGAATGAATGGGGTGGTTCTGGCAGTCCCCAAACCTGGGGATCATTACAGCTCTGTGCACTCTTAGCACATTCACATGGGGTACATATTTCGTGATAGACCTAGCACTTGAAGAATTCGTCACTTACTCTTCACACTAGCATTGCCTTTGCGTTCTCTTTCCACCATTTCCCTGCACGCGCCCCCCCCTCCCCATTGGTTTCTCCTTTCCTTTGCCTTTTTTCTTTGCTTTGTTCCTCACTGTCAGCTTTAAATCTGACTTACCCTCATCTGTAAGAAATCAGCACGGGCACACTTTTATAATTAGGTGTCTTTTGTTAACGCAGTGTGCTTGTCTTGATTTGAGAATGTTCAAGGGATGTTCTTCAAAGGGTGGTTAGAATCTATCTGTTAGGTAGGGAGGGAAAGGTCAAGTTAGTGGACTTGGGACTGTCATTGCTGAGTGCCTGCCGTGGAGCAGGCAGGAGGCTAAGAGTTTTCCGTAGCTGTTTCTCATATCAGAACAAAACAGCAGTTTTATGCCTCAGAATGTTGAAAACAGATCAATAAACGACTTTTACTATAGATTTAATAACTAGGACCTGGAAATAGCACTGGTATGTCAAATGTTAGGTACTATTTATTATAGTTAGTTTTTACCTAGTGTAGTCTGTGGGCTACACTTTCTCTTGTACTTAGTGATGCAAATATATTTTGCCATAATGATATGGGACTATAATGTGAATTATTTTACTCCTAATGCCATTGTCATAATGGATTTCTCTTGCATTTCTCCTCTGTATGTATTTTTGCATTCTCTGGTAGTAAAATTGATTCCCCGTGCCCACCTCGGCTAGGTAGGGGGCTGATGTTCCTTATAAAAATTAAACATTATTTTTCATTACTGGGACACATTAGGTTTAATATCTATTAAAGTGAAAATGACTCTAAAGCCCTTACCACTGATTGGGTGATTTCAGGTAAGTTTATCTATGCCAGTGATGGCGAACCTATGACATGCGTGTCAGAGGTGACACACGAACTCATTTCTTTGGGTTATTTTTTTTTTGTTAAGTGGCATTTAAATATATAAAATAAATATCAAAAATATAAGTCTTTGTTTTACTATGGTTGCAAATATCAAAAAATTTCTATATGTGACACGGCACCAGAGTTAAGTCAGGGTTTTTCAAAATGCTGACATGCCAAGCTCAAAAGGTTCGCCACCACTGATCTATGCAGTTCCTTGCAGTATTACAACACACTGATAGTATACCTGTCTCTTGCTCTAGAATCATCATCATGCATTTGCCCTGCAGAGGGATGTTGGTCAGCCACAGTATTTTTAAAAAAAATATTTTATTGACTTTTTACAGAGAGTACAGTATTTTAAAAATATATATATATATTATTGACTTTTTACAGAGAGGAAGGGAGAGGAATAGAGAGTTAGAAACATCGATGAGAGAGAAACATCCATCAGCTGCCTCCTGCACACTCCCTACTGGGGATGTGCCCGCAACCAAGGTACATGCCCTTGACTGGAATCGAACCCGGGACCCTTCAGTCCCCAGGCCGACACTCTATCCACTGAGCCAAACCGGTTAGGGCCACAGTATTTTCAATATTGTGAATACGTCAGAGGATTTAGTGAGCTAGAGATCTGGCATGTCTGATAGTACTTAAGCTTAGTGTACAGTTAAAGTGTTTTCTTCCTCTGCAAACTCCCTGGTGTGTGAAGCAGCACACAGGAGTCAAGGCGGGGAGAGGGTCAGAGTTTTGAGAAGCACCGAGGTAAAAAGAGGGAGGCTTCACACGTTGATACTGTGAACGGCATTGAGGTGGCGAGGCCATGTTCTTGCTCTGCTATTGTTTTAGAATTTATTTGGTTTTGCATTTACTGCCTATTTTAATCATTTAATGCTAACTGGTGAAAATAGGATTATTGATTATTACAACTACTGATACAGAACTGTCTTAAAATGCATACCTGGTTTTCTAAACCACAGGAATTTTGGGGGGAGAGGGGCGGATAATGTACTCCACAAAACCTCCCATTTTCACATCTACACTACAGTTGACAATACCTGTCTCCACAATTATGCTGTCATCTTGTCACGCCTCCGAGATTCTGTGTTCCTTTATGATTTCAGCTGCTCACATGCATTTTCCTCTTCACTGTTGATGACCAAGGTAACCCTGATTTCAAATCTTGTCTACGTTTGTTAACATTCATCTCCATTCAGTAACATTCCATTGTGGACACATGTCCGGTTTTTGTCTTTTTTGAAAACTTCCCAACGTATAGCATCTTTCCCAGAATTCCTTACCTGAATGTACTTCTCATTCTCACCACTTGCTCTTTGTTCTCATTCGGAGCAGTTTCCCTTACCGGTCCTTTCCCGGCCCATCTCATTTTGTTCAACTTCAGCCTAGAGTTAAATTGTAAGCCATTTTATCATTACTGTACCAAGGAATTCCTCACCTCCTAGGAATTTTTTAACAGTAATATTTACCTACTGTAAAAATCAGTGATGTCTACTGATTTCCACCCGATTTTTACTTTTATTTAAAAATCCTTTATTAATTTCTTAATTCTTTTTTTTTTTCTCACAGAGCAGTACTTCTCAGCTTAGGATGCACATCAGAATCACCGGGAGAACTTTTAAAAAGACTTGTGGCCCTGGCTGGATAGTTGAGTTGGTTGGATGTTGTCCTGTACACCACATAGGTCAGGACACATTCCCAGATTGTGGGTTTGATCCCTAATCAGGACATATATGGGAGGCAACTGATGGATGTTTGTCTCTCATCTCTCTCTCTCTCTCTCTCTCTCTCTCTTTCTCTCCCTCCCTCTCTCCCTTTTCCTATCTCTCTAAAAATCAATAAAAGCATATCCTTCGGTGAGGATAAAAAAAAAATAAAACCTTAAAAAAAAAAGACAGTGTCTGGGCTGCACTCAAGTCCTATGAGCTGTCTAGGCATCAGTATTATTTTAGTTACCCAGGTGATTGCAATGTGCACATTGAATTGAGGACCACTGCCATAGGGCTGCTCCAAAGCACTTTTACAGTAATCAGGTTCCCAATTTCACCCACTGCTTCATTCAGATCAACTTGTTTTCACTTTACTGAAAGTATTTAGGTAGAAATAGACATGTCACGTATAAATGTTTACATTTAATGAGAAGGAACTGATAAAGGCTTCTGGGAGTATGAAGGAATGGATTTCAGCTGGAGAAGCAAAGATACTTAGGAAATAACATTTGAAATGGAACTCTGCTGGATTGGGAGCAAGGGCCTCATAATGGAGGGTCCAGTGTGAACAACAGTGTTTTGTAAAGAAGTTTTGAGTGTCATGTAGAATTTGGTTAAGGAACTTGAAAATGAAGACAGGGAATTCAGAGGCTGTTGCAGTGGACTATGAGTAATGAAGTGAAAG